CCCGAAATTCGGTACACATGCATAGGTCTCCAAAAAAAGGAGCTATTGTCAGTTTAGGTAATTTAACTCCAGTTCCGTCTGACGGTGCTGCGACTGTCTGGGCAACTGTTTCTTGAGTTCCGGTCGATGTCCTTAGCATGCGGTCTTTCTTGCTGAGAATCTCTGCGAGAATGCACGTAGCACTGTCCTCATATATTGTAAGACAGCGTTATACTCGACTTCGAACTCCTCGTCAGGTATTTGCGGCTCAATCTTGTTGTTCAGGTTTTTATAAGCTCTTCGTTATTAGCCTTCAGCCTCTCATATAAGGAGTTGAGCTGGTTATAGGAGGCAGAGTCGTTAGCGAGGAGCTCACTTGCCTCGTTTATAATCCTCGTGTTCTGTGCTCCCCGCGACGTCCACATCGACTTCAGTCGCTCCATGTCGCTGCAGTTGACTGGCAGCCGTCCGTAGGGTCCTGGTTTTCTATCCCGGTTCTTCGGCATCAATATTAAAGACGATGGCATTCCAGACACTGCAATCAGACTCAACTCCGTCTTTAAGGTATAAGGCAAAAAAACTTGTTTATTTAACTGAGTTCGGAAGCGCTCTGCTGTCACTTGAGCGTCCCCGCGTCCCTCGCTCGCGCTCTTCGTCTTTCTCGTTTCCTTGTCCCAGCCCAAAACGTGAAAAATAATCAACAATGCTATCTCACAGCAACTAAAGCAGTAAGGGCGAGCTGAAATCGTTTGGAAGGCTTGTGCCCGGCAACTAACTATGTACTTGAACTACATAGCACTTTCCTGTCTGCTGCAATAACCATCCAAAACTGTAAAAGTAACATGAAATTCGAGCGGCTGTCATATTCTTTCTCACCGAAAGACGCAAAAACGACATCTTGGTGCATGCTTGGTGCAAATAATTAAATTTTTGCCAAAATGTAGCCGGATGTAGCAAGTTTCACCTGTTGATTCAGTTTGGCACAATTGGCGCAGCTATCGCATGACCGCAAATGTTGCTGCCGCCTGTAAGCAACCAGCATGTGATTGCTGGCAAGTGGATTGAGCCAGGGTCACGTTTGTCACCACTCTCACCCTTGACTACGCGATGCCAGCCTGGCTCACATACATCGCACATGCGGGCACGTCTGCATGCCGCTGCACGCGCAGCTTCACATATTGGTCATATATAAAGGGTCAGTAAATGACCCTGTAAACCAAAATTTTTGATGGCGAAATAACCATGCACTTGTACAATGTAAGCATACTGCAGCAAAAATTTTGTGAATGAATGCTGTAATAAGGAAGTTAAAGGGCATAGAGCAGCCTGCTTCGCCTGGTTATTGTTTCTTGCTTGACATTTCCACCCTTCTCAACAGTGATGAGGGGTAGGTGTAACCCTTCGTCCCGACTACGTCCACTTCAGCCATGTAACATGACGCCAGCGATTACGTCATCGGTGAGCATCCAACAAGCTAGCAGGGTTTCCCCTATGTGTCGCTCATGTTAGAGTAATGCGGTTAAAAAGCACAGCACGAGGGGTGTGAGCATCGGTGGAATAAACAAATATGCGAAAGCACAATCACCCTTGCTAGGGCAATGTTGCAAGATGCCTCTCAATCTCTGACGCTTTTGTTCTAGCCAAAAGCCCAATAGATGATGTGACACGCTGTGGCGGAGGTCTCCACAATTTTCAACCGACAGCGGTTTTATTACACGCATTCACATCTAAGTACACTGGCCTCCAGCTTTTTGCTTTTGTCCAAATACAACTGTCACAGCTACGATGAATACTGTTACTTTGATGGCCCCCAGCTGAGCACGGTAACCCTTGCATTGCCGTGGCGGCCTTACTGAAAACTGATTACTACGAGCTGAATTACAACATATGCTATTCATATGTTGCAATTATGTTGTATGTCACAATATTTTAACTGTGGTGAATTGAGCCAACATGTTGCGCTGCTGTAGCACTAAAGAGGGGCAGCATGGATGACAAAGACACCCAGAGCAATCTCTTGAAATGTCAAGTCATTATTTTTTTTAGCACTTTCGGTTCATGAACACACTTCTGAAGCAAATGAGCATGACCATAGTGTTTCTCCATATTAAGAGTTGACACTGTATCCTACAGAAATTAGATTACAATGACAAAAACGCCAGGCCTGCGCAGTAGGCGCAACACATTCACAGCGAAAGCTAGAAGAGTGGCCTTTGAGAACCTTTTCAAAACACTCATTGGGTAACTACTGCAAGCACACTTGTTGGGTACCCACTAGAGCATTAATAACAAACTTTTGGGTAGTAGGCCGGCATTTGCTATGCTATTTTTTATCATTATTCTGAGAAGCGTGGTATCTGCTAAACACTTGCAAGGAATTTTGTGCCAATTGTCCATGCAGTGGCTGAGGACATTGACAAACTATGGCTGAAGTGGGTATGCGCCACAGTTAATAGAGGAACAAGAACAAGCTTTTGTGATGGTTTGGAGCATTGGACGGCCCACTAGTTACGCTATTCGCGTTGTGCGACAACTGGTTGTTCTTTCCCTGTTGTAAAACGTTTTATAAGGCGCATTAACGCGATTGCTTTCCCGACATAGGCCAACCTAAGGCAAGTTTGACAACAAGTCATAAGCATCTGTGTAGCTCAGTGGTAAAATACTGGGCTGGCACCCAGCGGACCCGGGTTCGAGCCCCACTGTGCCATTGGTGCTAGGTCATGCCTGCCTAAGGCAAGTTTGACAACAAGTTATAAGCACCGGCGTAAGTCAGTGGTAGAATACTGGGCTGGAATGCAGCGGACCTGGGTTTAAGCCCCACTGTGTCATTGGTGCAAGGTTTTCTCATTTCGCGCGATGTGGTTACAGACACCAGCGGCGGCAGTGGACAACAACTGTGTGTGACCCGAAAAGTGATCTCATAACAGCTTTCGCTGTTAAAGAAATAAATGAAAGTTTTAGGGTTCGCTTTCTTTTTATTAGACACAATATTCATTATAACTAACAGTGATGCTAAGGAAACTATAGGGACGTTTAGTAGTTATTGCAATGTATACGGGAAGATGGATTCCTTTTTACATTGCAGGTGCCACAAAAATTTTCTACATGGCAGCGAGGGGGTGGGGTTTAACGAAAACTGTGTGTTGAACCATATGATCCCTCACACCAGCCGAAATTTCAATTTATTGCCTTGGGTCTTCCTATGCAGTCACAGTGAAACTGTATTATACTAGAGTAACAGAAAACAACTTCATTATGTCGAGGTCCAAATGAATGGTGTCTTATGAAAATGGCATCATAAAAAGTTGAACACTTCAATATACCGTGAAATCTCGGTAGAACGAACCCCACATTAATGAACCTTTCATATTAACGAACTTTTAAAAAATCCCACACCAACTGCTAATAGTTTCAATGTAAAACTATTTCACTACTACATACTTCAGAATACCGAACTTTTCAGAATAATGAGCGTTAATTTAGTTGTGCATTATATTAACAACACCTCAGTACTACGAACTCATGTTCTGAAATTCGTCGCGACCACCGGAGTGGTACGCAAGCAGACGACAAAGCGAGCGGACGCCTTGATTCTCAGAAGTGTGGCAGCTTGGGCTAGTTGGTACGACATGACGATAGTTATAGTGCGAGAACAGAACGATGACAAAGAAGCAAGAAGGATATGAGCGCTCCCCTCCGCACTGTCGAGCGTCTTATGAGAAGCCAATAGTTATAGAGCGAGAACAGAACGATGACAAAGAAGCAAGAAGGACATGAGCGCTCTTTGTCGTCGTTCTGTTCTCACGCTATAACTATCGTCATGTCATACCAACTAGCCCAAACTGCCATACTTCTGAGAATCAAGGCATCTGCTCGCTTTGTCGTCTGCTTGCGTACCACTCTGGTGGTCGCGACGGATTTCAGAACACGAGTTCGTAGTACTGAGGTGTTGTTAATATAATGCAGAACTAAATTAACGCTCATTATTCCAAAAAGTTCGGTATTCTGAAGTACGTAGTAGTGAAATAGGTGAAAAAAAAAGAGCGCTCTTCCTTCTTGTCTCTTTGTCGTTGGTCTGTTCTCGCTCTATAACTATAGGCTTCTCAGAAGACGTGCGGCAGTGCGGAGGAAAAAAAAAAAAAAAAACAACGAAAGGGTGACCTTTTTTTCTTTCTTTTTATTGAAGCGCCGACGCTGCAGGTTCACAACCGCAGAGGCGAGGGCAACACGGGAGGGCAAGGTCAGCGAGGCAGAGGGCAGAGTGGGAGTCGCAGCAGGAGGCATAGGCGCGGAAAACCCGAGACAGCGAGGGAGCAGAAAACGAAACACGAGGAATTTTCTATTTTAGCACTTTTTTTCTTCGGAAGAGCCGATGACAGCTGCGACGCTTCGGGTTTTTCTTTTTTTTTTGTCACTTCTACATGTGCTCTAGGACTTGGAGGCCTTGTTTTTCAGTCTTGTTCATCTCTTTTTGTTGATTGTTTATCGTGTCCGCAAAGCTAGTTGACGCTCGCGCTGTGGTGCTACTACGAATGAGTTCGGCGTTGCTGGCGACAAAAAAGCGGAATTAGTTTTCGCTAAGCGAGAAAGTGGATATTCTTCGGCAACTGGAAGGCAAAAAGCAGGCTGTTGTGACCAAAGAAACGAATCGCACCACAGGAATGTGGATGAGCTGGGGCCCTTCGCACTGCTAAGTTTGTGCTGCGTGTTAAAAAAAAAAAAACTGACTTCTTAAAAGTAAACGTGCATTTTCTGGTGTTCACTTGTGCATTAATTTTTTTCTCATTAAAAACGAGTTCAAGGACCCACCGTTGTAAAGATAAGTAGTTCTGGTCTGTGGAAAATAAGTATTTATGATTAATTTATGGGTTTTCGCTATAACGACCTTTCAAAATAACGAACGAATTGCCGCGGCCCCTTGAAGTTCGTTATACCGAGATTTCACTGTATAGAGAATTCACTTGTACTGAAGTTTAATATACCAAGGTTTAACTGCATCTAAATCAGAAGGCAGTACTTACTGAGCAGTGTCTCTTGTCGACTGTTGGGGTGAACATAACTGGCCACTGTTGGAACCTGTGCATAGATGGCAGCTTCAAAGAATGAGGTAAACACGATGAGAGGATTTTGGCTCAAGGATGTCATCCGTATAAACCAGTTCAAGCCACTAGACCACATTGTGGAGCAAACTATAATTTGGCCACGTAGCATTCCTGGCTTGCGTCGTTTCAAGCACTGCCGAAACTCATTCATCACCGAAGTAACCTGCATAAGTGAGAGGGGGGAACTGTATGTGATACAAGCATAAACAAGTATTCTTTCTCACTTGCGTGAGTACTCAATAGTCCAGCCACAATTCAATTTAACCTGAAAACATTTACAGTGCAAAGAGGGTTTTTAAACATCTTCACTTCAGTGAACCTGTTGTCGCTAGTACCCAGTTAACTTTTTGCATTAGACCAAAACCCCTGAAAGCATGCTTGCTGGAGTCAACAGAGGCCCACAAATTGTGCAGTGATGAATATGGAGCATTGTTACAGTTTGAACCTCTCACAAAAACAGCTTTAAGGGGCCCTGCAACACTTTTTGAGCATGTTCAGAAAACACTGCTGATCGGTAGTAGAGGCTCCCAAGAACAGGCGAGCCAAATACTATATGTAGTGCGTTGCCCGACCCAGCATATACCAGAACTTCTCTAAGCCAGCTAGAAATCACTTTTTCTTTTCTCTATAAATGATGCCCTCCTTATATCTAAATTACTGCGCCCACGTCATAAGTGGTTAGCTGATTAGAGCATCGCAAGCTGGATAGTTGCCATGGCTCCGTTGGGATGACACCCCGTGCCCCGTGGTGAAAAACAAACAAACAAACAAATAAAAACACAAGGTCATGGCAAGAGTTGACAAAAGGACTCTTTGCCCCATTGTCACCCCCCCCCCCCCGAGTAGCTTTCAGCATATTTGTTCGCACAAAAGCAGAGGGAAAGCACTTGAAACATGCGAGAAATTTTGCAACTTCACTTGTACTTGAAGATTGCAAAAAATTTTAAATGGGGAGCATCTCTTGCTCAGGTCTATGTCCCGCCGCTGATGTCCGCACTCACACTACGCATGCGCAACTCTCCTCTTTCACTCTCTCCAACAGCTGCATTACTCTCTCCACTTCTTTCCTATTACCTGCTTGAAGTTATCCTGCGTTCTCGCTTCTGCTTTCATGGTACATGTGTTACTCTCCACTTCTTGTCTCCTCTCCTTCAGGTGTGAATAGAGAGCGGGTGCCCATGTGTGCCTCCCCCTCTCTTACGCTCAGCCTCTCTCTCTTGCTTTGCAAAGCCGACGCGGGCAGCGCCTACTAGCCTACCCTCGCTCCCCCTCCCGTTCTCCCTCCCTCCCTCTCTCATCTGGGCATCCCTCCACGCTGCATTTACACCATCACTGCGCATGTGTGCCCCCTCCTCTCCTACACTCCCACTAACTCGCCTCGCAACACTGCAGGCAACGTCTCCTAGCAAGTTTCTTGATTGAAAACACAGACTGCTCGCGCTGCACAATTGTTCACTGGCCCCCCTGTATATATAGGCAGCGGATCTTGACCTCCAAGGTAGTGTGGGTGGGAGATTTCGTATGTGCGTTTTTGAACAATAAAAATTCGTAGCATGCGCGTTAACTAAAAGCGGACGGCGGGTCTGTGTGTCCAATTAGAGTTTTCTGTCTCTCAGTGACCATTACCAGCGATTGGCATGTTCCAGTAGGAAACACCTGTCCATCACTGCGTGCTTTGCACCTCCGTAGTTTACTCTCCTGTACAACGCCGCTGCCAGTGTAAACGTTAGCGTCCCCTGCTTCGCATCTACACATGGTTCACTTTAGCGAGAGGTGGTGTTATTTTTTCGTGGCATGTGATTTATGAAGCGTCATGTGCCGATAGTGAAACTATTCCATTAACTGACAAAATGTTGCAGCGTCTTTCAAATAGTCCACACACATACGACAGCCTTGTTTACTCCAAAACAGTAATGCAACATAGTTTGCCACAGAAACAAGGAAAAATTAAAGTGCTCACACGATCAGTGATCCTTTCCTGTTGAGAGGATCTTGACAAGCAACAACAACTTGTCAAGATCCCATCAATGGGAAAAGACTAATAGTGGATCAGTTAAAAAGAACAAAGCAACAAGTACCTCCACAGCAAACTTGTCCAGCAGCCGTTCACCATCATCCAAGACCACATGGCAGCACCGACGCAAGTTAACGATGAGACGACCATAATTGGTCAGAAAGCGCAGGAAACAGAGGGGAGTCGTTACTAAGACATCACAGCCATTGACCACCTCTACCTATATAGAAATAAGAAAAAAAGATTATTGTATATTAACAACCTTTGAAGTTGGCCCCGCATCTGCATGTTTCACTGCAAATGTCGTCGACGATGACAGCGCTGCGTGTGGAGAGAGTCAACAAAACGTTTATTTGATATTCTGCGCGAAAAAATGGGTGAATTGTATTCTGGAAACATTGCATTAGAGAGTCTCAATCTGTGCAGCGTAGGTGAATGAAGGCAAACGAGCGCCATCTGGCAGTTATCTTCGAAAACTAAGGAAGAGAGAAAGATGCGTGCCTGTCTCAGAAGCAATAAGGAGTAGCTAAGCGACGGGCAGGTGCCACCATCGTGTCGTCTTAGCAAAGCGTTGAAAACATTTGCCTTTTTGAGCAAGCGTGATAAATGCTATGGCCCTTGGAATTGCTTGTGTGTGCCTTCTTTAGTATAAAGGCACACATACAAAAAATCGACGTGTTGTTATGGTGCCTCAGATATGGGCAATAATTGCTTTTTAATTGACAATCGCACAAGTAAGAACGCTGAAACTTGAGCAATACTGGTGGGCACTGAGAACGGGGTTGGCTGTTTGAGGTACCCTTTGATGCCTTCAGAAAAATCGTTACCGCGGACAGACAAATGTACAGACAGACAGAAAGACAGACCAAAATTTTGGCGTCGAAGGTCCCCAAGAAAGACTATCATCTTTAAAAAAGAGTCTTCGAAACTGGGAGGGGGGGAAGGGAAATAACTTTTTTTCAGTGCTATTTCTCGGTTGTGCTCTGACTGATGCACATTTTCTCTTATTTCCATGTGTTCCTGTGCTGGAATGCTGAATGTAGCTCAAAGAGTAGAACAATAATATTATCCTTGTTGCACTTCCTGACATCTGCAAAACCTAATAACATTTATTTTCAAAATAGAGCCACACTCTGTTAATATTTGACATCAGAACATAAAAATGCATGATCGCTGAAACTTTCACAATTCCAATATAAAAAATGAAGCCCTTTATACCTAATAACCTCTCAGTCCTTCTAAGAGGAATAACTGGCATTTACCTCTTTTCCTTTTACCGCTCCTCCAGGATACAAGGCACATATTTTGGGACCTCTTTTTTCATGGACAAGTTGTTCGGCCTGGTGATATATGCGGAGAGCTCCTTCCCACGTAGATGCTAAAACCACCATTAGAGGCTGAGGAGGAATAAGACAAAGAAAACAAGCTCATTTTCACCAGTTATTGATGGTTGATAGATGGCAAGTGCCATTCATGAAAAACACCACATCTTCAACAACATTAGTTAAATAAATATAAACACTGGGCTTGCAAAGTAAGTATTCACGGCATTGTGGTTTCAAGAGCACAAGCAATATGAACACTTGAAAAATGTGAGCCTCGCAATCACCGAGGTGAACAGTCATTCATCGTTGGGGGCTGCACAATAAGGGGTATGTGTATACATGGGGTTCTATGGAAAGGTAAACAGGAGCCAAAAATCTCCAAATTGTAAACCATCATGCACTTTACATGGTCAGTCAAACAACTAACCATAAAGTCGCATCACCTTTTCCGTCTCCGTGACCCTGATTTGGGGCATTTCTTTGAGCAAATGCATTTAATCCTGAAGCAAATATTTTTTTTTACCTTCAACTTGAATTTTTTTGTGTGGAAGGCACTACTTTACTTAAACTCAACAAAATGGCGCTTCATGTCGAGCATCTTCAACGCATGGCGGGCTTGAAAATGGTGTTTCCCAGAGACTTTAACCTTTTGGTTTTGACGACATGTATATAAAATTTTCCATCGCTAATTTTTACCCAGAATGGTCTCCAATATAGTAGTTGTGATCAATTTTCTGCGTGTTTTAAACTGCAGTTAACAGCGGTAAAAACTAAGTGGATTAATTTTAATTAGGCATATTTTATTTGTAAAAATAAATTATGCCAGTTTTACTGTTAATTAAAAATGTTTTTTTACACTTCCTTGTATGCTGAAGACCAAAATAAAAAAGTCTGAAATTGATTGATCTAAATTTGCCCTTTAGACCCGAGGAGGATATAAATAAATAAATAAACGCAGCCAATCCAACAGCGAAAAGAAAACACCATTAGACTGTTTCAAAACCTTTTCAGAGCCCCTCTACAGGAGTTCCACATGAGTAGCTCAAGGACAAATGATATTATTACAATCTCAACTTCACAAAGATATTTTGCAAATGGCTCCAAAGCATTGTCCTTTGGGCAATCAGGCGATTGCCCAAAGTGGTTCAAAGATGAAAGTGGTTCAAAGATGCCAGCAGTACTCACTCCAACGCCTGCAGGCAGTTTCTCGTAGTCAATTTCAGACATCAGTCTTGAAACGAGTGGGATCAGGTATGCAAGTGTCTTGCCCGAGTTTCGTGGTCCCACAGCAACAATGTCTCTGCCAGACATCACTGCGGGCCACACTACTGTCTGAATGCATGTTGGATCCTGAAACCCCTCGGAGCGCAACCGCTGTTAAAAGAGAAAATAAAACACATTCAGAATGCTTTTTTTCTATTCAAGAAGAGTTAGGAAAATTAAACCCAATACTATCCAGAAAAATTTCACTTGGTAACAGTGTATAGCAAAGGAACTAACCCTAATGACTATTTATAACATGCATGGCATCCAATTGATAACACGAATACAGTTTATCTCGGATACAGCAAACTCGGATATATCGAATTATTGGCTATATCAAACAGTTGAGAAATCCCTTTGAATTTCTCATGCAAAAGTATGGGACCGGTGCACCCATATACCGAACGCTGCGTCGTGCCAAAGCCCAGAAAGTGCATTTTTTCTAGCAAATATTGATCAATTTTTGGCTGCACTCCAAGAAGTTCTGATCCCTTTTCGCACGCAGGTGACAAAAAGGCAGTGTTATTCCATTGCACTGATCTGGTTTGTTCCACGGCGCTTGAGAGGTTTGATTCGCCATCTTCAGCACTTAACATGTGGGTGTAATTTAAATAAAAAAGACAGATCCCTGAGGACACAAAAATGAGAATACGAAGTGGTTCGGCAATCTCGTTGCAATGTTCGCATTCCCTTCCTTATTTGTTAGCCCACAATGGCATGCGATGGGCATGCAAGCCTGAAAGCATGGTCTTCGAGATGTGTAATCTTGTGACGTATTTTTAGTGTTTTTGATTTTAAAATGCACGTCTTGGAGGCTACACTTTTTCTTGTTTTTCATATCATAACAGCTAAAAGCAGTGGCTGCCAGCTACAAAGCAACAAGTGGCATTAATAGTGCCAACATGTCGTTCTTGATAAATCCTCATTCGAAAGTTGAACACAACACTGAACTGCACGTAGTGATAAAAATCACGACTGGCGCTTAGAGCGACCTCAAGCAAAGCACTGTCGTATCCGGGTCAGATGAAGACTTCGGGTACGTCGTGGCAGCTGACAACGGCGTGCTGTGCCTCGGTGAATTCAGCGACTTATCAGCGTTTCCGGGCACCATCTCGAACAGTGAGCAACTTCATTGAGGCCGAGATATGGCTGTCATTTCCGTTGCCGCGGAAGTGTACTCGTGCGGTTATGAATATGCCACTGCCTTCGCTAACGCCGCTAACCAACCTTCTGCTGCGCTACAAAGTTTGGATCGGTGTTCTGCATCAACCAATGCTGTTGTGGCCGAAGGAGCTGAATTCACTTATTTGAAAAGCTTCAATGATATTCAGAACGATTTGAACTTGGTGCACAAGAAGCAAGAGAAGTTGACGGACTATTTTCATGTGAAATAAAGTAAAGTAACTTGCAGTTTGTACTTTGTTTATTCATTATAGTGCGAGCGAATCATTATGTTAGCGCTTGTAATGATTTCCAAGGCCCGAAATGCACATATTTCGTGTTTCAAATTATCGATATATCAAACTATTTCATGATCCCCTTCGAGTTCGATATATCAGGGATCGATTGTAACACGAATGACATGATACCAATGACACGAAGCAACGGTGGTCAGTTTTGTAACCTGTTTACTCTAGAATGTACATGCGTGCATTGCAGACATGCGGTAGTGAAAGGCATGATTTGTCTCAAAGTTAAACATTTGCAGCATATAAAGCTCCTCACCAAACGTTGCGCATGACAGATTCTCACAGTGTGTGAGATCTACTGAATTTTTTCCTTTTTTTTATGGAGGTCAGGAGATTATTTTAAATTAAGCAAATTCTTTTTACAGTGAAAGCTGTTAACAATCACAATGGCAGTAGAGTAGTTGCTTGCCGCCGTTGCCAGGGTTCGTAACCACAATTACGGGAAATAAAAAAAAATGAAACAAGAAAAAACTTCTAGGAAGGTTGGCTACTCTGACTGTCATCATGAAAAAAGCATGAGAACCTCTAACAGTGGGTAAGATTCGATGCCCGTAACCTCGCTTTGAAAGATCAAGCTGTGCCATCAACATGGGTGACGGATACCATTGGTGGTGCGAGTCAATTTTAACACGAAAGTTTTTTATGCTGGGGTCCACCATAGCTCTGCTGACGTAGTTTTGTCAAGGAAGTGACGTTGAAAAATATGTACTAAGAGATTGCAAAAAAAAAAAAAAAAAGCCCCGTATTTGCATGTTTCACTGCAAATGTTGTCGAAAGACGATAGTCTTGCGTCTGGAGAGAGTGAACAAAACGTTTATCTGATGTTCTGCACAAGATAATCGGTGAATCAGTATTCTGGAGGTGCTGTGTTAGAGTGCCTCGATGCGTGCAGCAGAGGCGAACAAGCGCATTAGGGCATGTGAGACATGAGCGCTATCTGCTAGTTATCTTCGAAAACGAAGAATGGCGTGCACGCTGTCTCTCAGGCGACAAGGTGTAGAACGCAAAGCAATGGGTAGGTGCCACCACAGTGTCGCCTTAGCAAAACGTCGGAAACACTTGCCTTTTGGTGCATAGTGTTGCATTGTCAGCGCAGCACTTCAGCGTGATAAATGCTACGGTCCTTTGAGTTACTTCTGTATGCATTCTCTAGTATAAAAAGACACACCACAGAATATTGACCTGTTGTTATTGTGTCTCAGATATATGCAATAATTGCTTTTTAATTGAGGATCGCTGCGGATGGGGTTGCATTTTGGCTATTTTCATGAGGTCGATCAACTTCATGAGGTCGATCATCGAAAGTTCGATGGCAGGCTGGGGCGTGCGTTGTACGAGTTCAGTTGGTATTGCCGGTAGTCTACGCTTCTGGGGCTCTTAAGTGTTGGTATAGACTGCACTTGAGTTTCGCTGACGTAGTGGTAGCCCGTTCGTTATATTCCACAGCCCGGTCAAGCTCTGCCTCCGCTTCCATGGTTGATAGCAGAGGGACGATGTCAGAGTTGGTCGCTCTCAAGTTGGTGTGCAGTTGATTGAGGCGTTCATTGAGGATGCAAAGCTCCTCTTCTGTAACCCTGTCTTGAGTGAGTGTTGCTTCTGCCTCAATGATAATGCATGTTAACTCTTGGATTTACGCTTTAGCTTCAAAGCTCCCATGTCACACCTTCGCGTTGGGCAGCTGTAGGTCTGTACGTTGAACTCGTAAGTGGAAGGCGATTACCTCGGGGCCATCGATGTTCGCTGTTCCGATGGGTTTCGGCACCACTTAAGGAGAGGCTACCCTGGAGACCGAACTTTTTTATTTTTTAAGATATCTGGATGAAACTTTCAGGGGTTGTTCACTACAATAAAACTAGCACAACTGCTAAGTTTCACGAAGCTGTGTTTCTTAGTTCCAGAGTTATTGAGGTTTGACTGGGTGCTTCACATGGGTGCCTGAAGAAGAGTCGTGAGAAATCCCAGGACATAGTAGAAAGCTGAAATTCATTGTGGTCATTCCTTGATAGCTATCCCAGGGCGCTACAAAGCCGTTTTTTTTAATCCCCCCCCCCCCCCCAAATTTTCACGCAACTTTGAATTTGATGTAACCAGTAATGACCAGATTCATCAAAAATTAATTGTTTATTATAAATTAACAGCACCAATTTTCAAAAAAAGGAGCTTGTTACGCCCTTGCAAGTCATTCAGGAACAGAATAAAAAAAACGGCACACAAATCTGATGAACGGTTTTCGAGTTCTTGCTTTCCTCAGCACCACAACTAGCAAAAAAATCCGTTCTGAGAAAACAGGCCGAGAAAGTTCAAAACACGTGTTTTCTTCAAAAAGCTCCAGCACAGTAGCTAGAAGTGTCCTGGCGCACTCTTTTCTTGCCTCCATCTTCTCTTGGTGTCCTTTAGAATTCTTTTTTAGGCGTAAAGCGTCTTTTTCACAAGCTCGCTGGATGGCCAGATGACCTGGTTGAAGTCCAATGGAGTCCGATATCACTTGGGTTGCTTTGCAGCAGCCGGCATTGTAGCGCAGCACTGCTTCATGCAGTGCTGTTTCTACCGCGATCAAGGATGAGTGTTGTTCCTTCGGCATTAGAGACCACAGAATGGAGTGGAATGATTCTGATGCATTTTGCGTCTTCGCTCCCAGGCAGCGCTGAAGAAGCGACTTTTGTGACAGTCTTTCGTAGATGGGCAGCATAGCTGCAGCGACATATTCCGGTAGACTGTGTTTATGTTTTGGCTGTGGCTCACGCTTTGCCTCTGCAGCTATATGGCGGCACCACGATTGAGTCGATGTGACGTGGTGATATGTTGCCATCACTGCACGCTGCATGGCTGTTAGGTCAGTTGAATTGTTTCTCAGGGCCCAACCATAATATCCTGTGAGCTTTTCAATGAGGGCTTTAGTCAGCTTCCCCTTCCCACTCAGTGGCTTATCACTTTTCTGCACAATGTTTCGAAGAGCACTTCCAATCATTTTCTGAACATGGTTCAGACATTCATCTTTTACAATTGGCACTAGCCCGTACACATTCTCTTCTGTGAGGGCAGCGAAGGTACGGCTGTCTCCGTCGGACACAAGAGTGGTGTACCGCAGGCCATGCTTGGATACAGACCGCCCAAAGAGAGTCAAGCCTGCCTCCACTTCCATGCTTCCCGATTTTGCGTCTGTGTTTTTCTGGCAAATGTGGTGCTTCTGCCAGCTTTCGTATGCTGCATCTCCAGGTTTGGGCCCTGTTTGGCATCCAAGGCAGTGGTTTGAAAGAACTACAGCATCCAAGATGAGACCTGTAAAGAAGTCAATTACCGATCCCACTCCAATGTGTGATGTGTGACCCCGCTTATGCCATGTGCCATCGTACACTATGGTGATGTCCTTGCAGAAGCTGGGGTCCATTTCTTTATATGTTTTGATCACTGCTGTGGCAGAATCAGCATAAAACTTCTCCAAAGGGGTGGCCTCTGGCTTCCTGAACATCTCTTTCAAGTGCTTTTGAAACGTCTTGTGGTGAAGACCTCTGTAAGAGACGTTCATGGCAGCCCAAAAGTCATTAAGAGCTGTTTGCCCCTTGCCTATTAGCTTTATAGCCATTATGGCGCGGACATTTACATCGAAGGCCTGCGTGTCCTTTTCGCGGGGGGCATGTCCAT